ACTTATGCGCGAAGACTTTAATTTAATATAAAATAAGATATTAATCTAAATAAATAATATAAGAATTTAATATAAAATTTTCTTATTTTATTCTAAAGAAACATATTTCCAAATCAAATGTAATAATAATTATCTTATGCAATTCACAATTCTTCAATTTACGCAATATTTAGTTTAGTGTACGGATTGCAGTACAGTTCAGTTGGACATAGTCAATATTCGGGATACGAAATCTAATGCGTAGTACATATATGTCGATGTTTTTCGCAGTTGATTCACATTTTTCCGTTTTTGTATTAAAACTTCAGAATGTATCGAATTTCTCAGTTAATTCAGGAAAACAGTTTAAAAATGGCGGGATAGTGTTTTTTACTTTTTATTTTTCTTTTTCTTAATATCCTATTTTATGTATTTATATTAAAACCAGCCAGATACAAACAGTACAAATAAAGAGATTTATCTTAAATTTTGTATAAACAAAATACAAACAAACTTTTACCCGATCTATTACCAATTCAAATATGTATTAATTTCACATAAGTTTGCATTTTATCAAAGAAACGTGAAAACAAAACCATATAATATAATGAACCTTTGAAATTTTCTAACGAGATCTGTCTAAATCTGATAAGTCATTTGAAATAATTCGTTTGTATTCGCCGTTGTTGCGTCACAACTTTGGAACTTTCCAATTTATTTGCTAGTTTTCACTTACAACGCTTAATTGTATACATGTTTCATTTTTATTATCATATACTACTTGCAAGACCACCGTTTATAGTTCATAAGTTTTCCGTAGTTGTAACTACTTTGTGTAAATACAATAAATAGTTATATATTTATCTTTCGTTTACCATATACAACAATGTGATCGATATGTTCATCGACCTCAGTATTCAAAAATTATTCTGATAATGCAATTTGTGTGCCAATATTATTGCAACTGGTATAAATTTCTTTAATAAATTCCTATTATTGAAATGAATTAAAATAAAATTTAACATACTTTCCGCTCATACTGTTATTATACGAATAAGTTTTCAAATCCATAATAATATACTGTTTTTACTACGGCTTTTTAAAGGAGTACACATAATAAGCCATCACAGAGTCCACCTAATGGTATGCGGATGTTATCGTTTATACTCTATAAACACCTACATCTATCCTTGAATAAATAATAAAAACCGGATACGTTGTCAGCGCTAAGGACTACCATGTCATTCCTCGCTACCAGTAAAAAGGTTCTCAGGTTCCTGTCACTCACCATGCGAAACACAGCAACATTATTCTAATACAGACCAATTCCTCCAGCAGATCTTTACTTTAATACAACGTTATAAATAACATTGGTCAGACATACAAAATATTTAATTAAATTATTTAAAAAATGATAGACTGTTGAAAATGCCATTGAGAAGAAATGCAAGTAGTATATGATAATAAAAATAAATACTGTATACAATTAAGCGTTATTTATAAGCGTTATGCTCAATGACCTCAATAGTGTTTCCCAACGGATAGGTCTTAAGATGAACATGGACAAAACAAAGATCATGTTTAATGTCCATGTCACACCTATGCCGGTAGTTGTTGGGAACACTAAGCTCGAAGTTGTTGACGAGTATGTTTACCTGGGACAAATAGTCCGACTAGGTAAGTCCAACTTCGACCGAGAGGTCAATCGACGGATTCAACTCGGTTGGGCAGCGTTCGGGAAATTACGGCACATCTTCTCGTCAGGTATACCTCAAAACTTGAAAACGAGACTGTACACCCAGTGCGTGTTGCCAGTGATGACATACGGAACTGAGACGTGGTCCTTTACTGCTGGCCGGATGAGGAAGCTCAAGGTCGCTCAGCGAGCTATGGAGAGGGCTATGCTCGGAATTTCTCTGCGTGATAAACTCAGAAATGAGGATATCCGCAGTAGAACTAGAGTGACCGACATAGCCCAACGGATTAGTAAGCTGAAGTGGCAATGGGCCGGCCATATAGCTCGAAGAACCGACAACCGATGGGGAAGAAAGGTTCTCGAGTGGCAGCCTCGTACCGGCAGGCGAAGTGTAGGGCGTCCCCCCACTAGATGGAGTGACGACCTGGTAAGATATGCAGGAAGTCGATGGATGCAGGTGGCTCAGGACCGTTCTTTGTGGCATTCTTTGGGGGAGGCCTATGTTCAGCAGTGGACTTGTGAAGGGCTGTAATGATGAATGATGACAATTAAGCGTTGCAAGTGAAAACTAGCAAATAAATTGGAAAGTTCCAAAGTTGTGACGTAACGACGGCGAATACAAACGAATTATTTGAAATGACTTATCAGATTTAGACAGATCTCGTTAGAAAATTTCAAAGGTTCGTTATATTATATAGTTTTGTTTTCACCTTTCTTTGATACGACTCTGCTGTCTGCTTACGGTGTTTATTAAATATTACGACTTTAATAAACACCGTAAGCAGACTTCTTTGATAAAATGCAAACTTATGTGAAATTAATACATATTTGAATTGGTAATAGATCAGGGAAAAGTTTGTTTGTATTTTGTTTATACAAAATTTAAGAAAAATCTCTTTATTTGTACTGTTTGTATCTGGCTGGTTTTAATATAAATACATAATATAGGATATTAATAAAAAGAAAAATAAAAAGTAAAAAACACTATCCCGCCATTTTTAAATTGTTCTCCTGAATTAACTGAGAAATTCGATACATTCTGAAGTTTTAATACAAAAACGGAAAAATGTGACTCAAACTGCGAAAAACATCGACATATATGTACACTAGATGTCGTATTCCGAACATTGACGATGTCCAACTGAACTGTACTGCAATCCGTACACTAAATATTGCGTAAATTGAAGAATTGTGAATTGCATAAGATAATTATTATTACATTTGATTTGGAAATATGTTTCTTTAGAATAAAATAAGAAAATTTTATATTAAATTCTTATATTATTTATTTAGATTAATATCTTATTTTATATTAAATTAAAGTCTTCGCGCATACGTGACTCTACTATCTACCGCGCATGCGCAAAGACAGAGTAGCGCACAATTTTTGTTTGGAATAGCTTCTCTAGTACGTAGTACATAGAACTCAATGATAAAAAAGGTTTTTGACATTTATGGACCTAATGCAGTATCAGTAAGAGTAGCACAAAGTTTATTCAAGCGTTTTCAGTCCAGGAATTTTGATGTCAATGTTGCAGCTCGCTCTGGTCGCCCTTATACGGATAAAGTCGATGCCATTTTTGAAAAGGTGGAGCAAGATCGATACATTAGTAGTAACGTCATAGCCGAGGGGTTGAGGATTGTCACAAATCAGTTTTGACCCATTTAAATAAGTCTGGCTATACAAAAATGTTGGATATTTGGGTAGCACACGAGCTCACTGAATGAAACCCGATGTCGGGCCAAATCATTGATTCGGATCTCTACTGCCAACAGCTAATGAGACTCAAAAATAGATTGAGAAAAACAGCCGGAATTGATCAACAGAAAAGGAGCGGATTTTCATCGTGATAACGCCAAACCACACACATTTTTGGCCCCTCAGAAAAAATTGAGAGAGCTTGGTTTGGAAGTGTAAATGCATGCACCATATAGTCAGCCCTCTGTCACTTTTGCTACCTGCGTGAAATAATTATTGAAAAATTTACTATTTTAATTAATAAAAATAATTTTTTTAATTTTTAGCTATTATAAAAAAATAATATATAAGTAATGCAGCATTACAGCCTATCAAATGTCCAATCCTAAATATAGGCCTCTCCATAGATTGTCTCATATTCGGGATATTTGCCATAGATGGCGCATTGGCAACTGCAGCTTTTTATTTTTAGGTTTTTATTAACGCTGTTGCCCATCTCCGTGTTTTTTTTTCCACGATGTCACCTCTTACGACAATATGGGATACCGCTACTACACGGCCAGTATCAATATTTATTATTATTCATGAATTTGTTTGTAGAACAAACAGGTTAATATATTTTTAGGTTAACCCTCTGCGACTGACGTGGTAGTCGAACAGACACCTCAAATTTGAGCGTTGCCACTCTTAGTACCTTGCCGGAGTAAGCTCGCGCGTCGGTCAGTGTGTGGAAGGCCGCGGTAGCAAGCGCACGTGTGCGTATTGGGAGGAAGGTGTCCACGAGGCTACCACATCAGTGTTAAGGTAAGTGTCTACTATACTACCACATCAGTAAAATGATTATATTTCCATAGTGTCTCCTAAACAACCACATCAGTTACTAAGTTTAGTTTATCTTACGATAAGTTATTTTTCGTATTATTTTGCGTTATTTTACAATTTTATTTTATTTACATCATTTATTTCTACACTAATATTATAAAGGAGATAAATTTGTAATTTTGTTACAAATGTATAAACTTAAAACTTACTGGGACGATTTAAAACATTATTTCACTACTAGAATGCTATATTTCACTGAGTAACATAGGTTGTATCGCGGAATAGTATCTGTAGTCTACACGGTTGAAATGGCGGAAGCTAATTATACGTAATTTATAGGACAAACTTATTTTTTAGATGGCTGACTCAAGTAAAAACCCTAGACCAGATACTTCTTCAAGTCGTAAGAGAACGTCGGCTGGAACTTTTGTGGGTCACGAAAATCAAATAACAGAGTGGCTGGAAGAGGAGTGGCATGAGTTTAGTGATGTTGTCGATGAAGATGAGGATCCGACTTTCGAGCCGGAAACCCAACACCTTCAAGAAGACTTTATTTCAGGTGATGAAGATCCAGAATAAAACATAGGAGCGCGACAAGATCCTGCCACTGTGGTTGAACGCCAACAATCTTCAGACGAGTCAGAGGACCACTTCACATGTAAAAACGGTTTCATTTGGAGTAAACAAGAGCGGACTAGGACATCACGTATTGCAGCTCATAATATAGTTCAATTACCAGGCCGTACTACAACAACTAATTTTGAAGGTTACTCGGAACTTTTGTCTAAGCTGATTTACCCCACAATGTTAGAATCTCTGGTGCAATTTACTAACCAGAAAGTCAGTTTCTACCGAACTAAGTTCAAAAATACTACTAAGGCCGAACTTTGTGACACAAATGTAAACGAGATAAAAGTGTTCATTGGTTTGATGTACTATTCGTCAGTTTTCAAATGTAACGATGCATATCTCCACACAATATTTGCCACCAATGGCACAGGCCGTGAAATATTCCGCTGCGTGATGTCCAAATGGTGTTTTTCATGTTGGATCAACTGCCTTAGATTTGATGACTCGACTACTAGAGAGGAACGTCTAAAAGATGATAAACTTGCTCCAATATCCGATATGTTTGATAAGTTCATATCAAACAGTCAATATACCACTGGACCATACCTCTGCATCGATGAAATGTTACTGCCATTTAGAGGTCGTTGCAAGTTTATATGCCTCAGAAACCAGCAAAATATGGTATCAAAATTTTATTATTAGTAGATGCTCAAACATACTATATTTACAATGCTTATATATATCATGGTAAGAATTCAGATGGTAAAGGCTTAACCGATCAAGAAAAAAATGGCAGTACCCACTCAAGTATTAAGACTTGCGAAAGTGGTCGAAAAATCGAACCAAAATATTACTGCTGACAATTGGTTCAGCTCGATACCACTAGTCGAAATATTGCTGAAAAGAGGACTGACTTACCTGGGCACTCTGAAAAAAAAAATAAAGCAAAAATACCGCCTTGTTTCTTGCCAAACAAAAATAGATCGATAGAAAGTTCGTTGTATGGTTTTACGAAAGACTATTCACTTTTATCATGTGTACCAAAACCTTATAAAGCCATGTTGTTGATTTGTTCTTCTTTTTTGATTGCAGACTATAATCGTACAAAAGGTGAAGTGGATGAGGTGGATACAAAATGCTCGATATATTGTTGCAGCTGTAAAACTCGTCGTTGGTCTATGAAAATATTTCAAAGGATGCTGGCCATGGTAGGCATAAATAGCTTTGTATTGTATCAAAATTGTACTGACAGTGATGAGAAAATGAGGAAAGCAAATTTTTTATTGAATATGGCAAGAGATTTAGTGCTGAATCATATGAAAACCAGGGTATACAATGAAAGATTGCCAAGGGAGCTGCGCATGACAATCACTAGAGTTTTAGGTAAGGATATCCCCCCTCCACCACTAGTAGTTCGGTCTGCTCCACCAAGTGGCAGAAAACTTTGTTCTATTTGTCCAACAAAAATAAAAAGAAAAACTAAATATTGTTGCTGTGATTGTTCAAAGCCAATTTGTGCTCCAAGCCACTGTGTGATAATTGTCAAGTAAAGTTGTGATTTTCAAAATGTCTAATTTTGAAGTCAACCAAAGAATGTATATGATTTTCTCTAGACTGATTAGTGTAATTGTTAGTTTTTAAAATATCTAATGTAAAATTTAAAAAAAGATGATTTTGTAATTTTTTCTATGTCATTAATATTTAAATAGATATTCATAGACTGATTTGTGTAAAGTCAATAAACACAGTTTATTTTTGAAGATACAAATTGTTTTATTTATTTAAAGTTCATTTAATATATATATATTAGGCTAACAATCTGATACATATAAATAAAATCCCTGCATAATTAAATTCTATAAAAATATTTGCTTTTTAAATGGTGTCTCGTATACTACCACGTCAGTACAATTGTAAAAATTTTGCCACGTCAGCCGCAGAGGGTTAAAAGCTTTTACATGTTATAACCATGTTTGACTTAAAAATATTCAAAAGCCAAAAATAAACTATTCGACTTTGTAATCAAATGCTGTAATAAATGAATAGTGACGAAACTATAAAATGGAGTTTACAATTTAAATATTCAAAGAGATTTCTTACACAGCGTTATATTCACGTGTAGTGCCTTAATGCTTGATTTTTAGGGATGTACATCAAAGGAAAGGATAATAACGAGCTCGGGTCTAGCTGAAGTAGAGATATCGAATATTTGCGTATTTGAATGTTCGTTTTTCCTCTCAAATTTTCTATAGAAAGCTGATAGTGTTGTTACCGGTTAAATTTCTCTCCCAAAATCTTTTCTATTTTTAATTTTTGCAATTATATCAAAGTTTAAAAATTGAATTAGATTCTCTCTATAGGAGGCTAGCTATAGTATTATAAAAGAATAAAAATTATATAGATTATAAAGGAAGCATAGTACCTACTATACATATTTTATACACTCCATTATTACTTTATAATTTGTTTTAATTTGCTTAACTTCAAAGATTTGCTCATCTTTAAAACACTGAGCAGGTGGGATGCTGAACGTAGAGCCGATACTCTCGCAATGGCGATACTGCTCTACATATCCAGTCTTGGGTACAGCATTTAAGGATGTCTTTCCGCCAAAGTCTCATCATTCAATCAGCAGAGTGCACCTCATGCAGTAGAAGTTGGCACTTCTTTATTATTGTAAGCCAGTGCTTGACTAGGAAAAACACTACACTCAGAAACAGATTAAGCAATAAATATGTTAAAAACTAGCCTTCCGCCCCGCGTTTTCACAAGCGACATAATGATTTGAATTTTCCCACTGGAACATGAAAAAAAGTGCTAAAATAGGTAAAGTCAGGAAAATAATTTTGACAGTAAGTGCACCAGAATTCTACTGCAATACGTCTCTATAAACGACATTTCTAGACTTATTGTTTTCTGCATAAATGTAGAGATTTCTGGCCCTCGATACACGTGAGCAACCGACGTAGAGCTACCCGTGTGAGAAACAGGGGATACCCAAATGAATTCCGGCGTCTTTCAATGCTTGTCCTTGGCTCTTGTTTATCGTAATAAAAAAGGCTACTTTCAAAGGGAACTGTAAACGTTTGAACTGGAAAGGCAAGTTTGTTGGGATGATAGGGATTCGTGGAATCAAAACAGTTTCGCCTTTCGCCCCGCCAGTGATGATTGTAGCTACCACAATGTGCCTTCTTAATTCAGTGATTTATAACCTAGTGCTATTACATAATCTTGGTGCATCCAAGTTTCTCATCAGTATAGCAGGCACTCCAACTTTTAGCTCTAACTTATGGGACGGGACCCCCGACAGCTCCAATGAATTTAAAAACTCTACTGGATATGTAGTTGAGTTGTCACTTGCCATAACTGTATCGATGGAAGTATTTGTCGTGACTTCACCATTTACTAAATCAAGGATTTTTTTTATTGATTTTTTCCATCGATCTGTTCTTAGGCGCCATAATTGCTCTTTTACATAACCATCCTTCATTGACGATGTTTTGTTGTAAGTTTGGGAAAACCTCAGTGATTAGGTTATCTTCGGAGCTCACAATATTGCAAAAGGGGGTCTCAAATTTTATCAGGTTGTCCTCATCTTCGTTGCCATGTGGCTTTAGCCAATATCGATGAGGTTTTGAGCAAAAACACCAGACTCATGATCATTGTAGAGCTGTACTCTCATATTTGTTGTGAGATACATTCTCTCTACTTTTGCCCACAACGGCGAAGCCTTGAGGCACGCGTTGATCTCATCTGCCGCAGTACCTCGCTCAATAACCGGTAACGTCTGTCGGAAATCGCCTGCAAGTCAGACGACTACTCCACCCATCAACACGCGGTTTCCGCGGATATCTTGCAAGCTACCATCAAGCGCCTCGATCGCACGTTTGTGTGACATCGTACACTCATCCCACACGATTAATTTGCACTTCTGGAATAGAGTGCCTCGTCCACTGCTCTTGCTTATATTGCAAGTTAGTGTTTCCTCACCTGCGAGGTTTAGTGGTAGCTTGAATACCGAATGAGCAGTTCTTCCTCCACTTAGCAAGGTCGCGGCTATACAGAAGACGCAACAGCTAGCGCGGCATTCTTGTCCTTGCGTAACTGCGCTAACAGTAAATTCAACAGGAATGTTTTGCCTGTGCCTCTTGGTGCGTCTAAAAATATAAACCACCTTCTTCGCTCTCCACATGATCCACAATTTTATTAAAAAATTGCTTTTGCTCTGATAAGAGCTGGGGTTCAGTTTGTGCTACTTGAGCCCCCAAGGCAGCGGTGTTGTAATTTTGCTCCCTAAGCAAATCAGTGGACAATTCGCTTGTTCGTTGTGGGGCCGGCATGCCAAAATCTGACAACAGCTTTCTCACCATTCCAAAAACTTTGTTCTCGATTGATTTGAGCGCTTCAAAAATATGTTTTCACTGGCATGTGGTGTCCCTTGGTACCTGTGTGCGATATCTTCCGATAAAGCAACTTTATATTTTTCCCACAGTTGCATAGGATTAGAGAGCCTGCAGGTGCTCAACACGATGGCAAAGAGCTCTCTTAACTTAGCAGCTGACTCGCACAAAACGGCGTCCTCCATTGTATGGTCCCAGTGGCCGTCATCTTCCAGAAGTCCCATCGCCTCCCACGCTTCCCAAAACGTGGCTTTTTCTTGTCCGTCGACTGATTTGAAGGCTTGAAAACTAATCAGGCCCCTGACGCGGCTTAGTAATAACCGTAAACAATAACAATCAAATAGTGTTACGTGCATAGTGTAAATTCTGCCCAAGGCATCTGACGCTTTTACACCATACCAGCCTTCGACGGGGGTGCCCAGCACACGACGCTTCTATTCCTTTGGTGTTGAATTTCACTTGTAATATTTTGGCAATTCTGCGTAGAGAAAAGTTCTGGCAAAGTCGTATTTTGGCATAGGTGGAAAAATGGGGTAAGAGTGGTCTTGGGCGGTATCGATACGCGTTTCCGCATGTTGGCCTCGGTGAAATAAACACGCTCACCATTGGGAAGGTGGACCGCAAGTGTCACTGTGGGGTACTTTTCGTGAAGCGGTAAGCCTAAAATACGCCATGCCGCTTCATTGCTGCTCACATATCGACCTGCTCTAAACGTCTGAACTTCATCTCTCGAGTCGAGATTAGCGTTACCCTGCTGCTGCATGCTGAATATTGCCTGATCACTGCCCTTGTTTATGTATTTACAAATGTACTTAATGGCCAGAACCGAGTTACAAAACTCTAGATTAATATGGGCATCAAAAGTTTTGGCAAGCAGCGGTGAGTACGAGACCAACCATCTGTTGTACACTACAACGTCTTGCGTAGTACCTCTAATTTTAATTGTAACCGCACGTCCACCATCTTCGGGCGCTCTTCGATTGTACAGTGGATATCCATTGTCATTTGTTTGTGTCACTTTTAGCAGCCCCCGAGGATACTTTTTGGTACACTTTCCGTCTTTCATGCACGGGGACGAAGGGTTCAGGCTTCCGCAAGGACCGTGAAGCATACTCTTAGTGATTGTATCGTAGAGTTGTTTATCCATTCAGGGTCGGGCAAATCTCATCAATTTGGTCCGGCTGCAATTTTTCTTTTGGCCACAGCAGCAATTGCACTTGTGGCAAGCCACGCTTTTGCCACTCGATTGAGTACATAAAGCACTGTAAGTCGCCACAAGCATGGCCTTTGGTGAGGAAGGCCACCAGTTTTTGAACTTTAATTCTAAAAACCCGTGCTACGTGTATATCGTGGCGGTCCGTTGGTTTTTGCCCTATCATCATTTTTTCTTTAATCTCTGTCCAGGTTGGGTTGCACGTGAAAGTGATAAATAATTCCGGTCGCCCATAGCTTCTGACGTAAGTGAAAGCGTCCTGGGTATTGTATATATTCATGGAGGTATCGCGGACTATTTACAAACAATGATGGGAGAATCACCATCTGTCCTAGGTCGTTCGGATTTACATTACCATCACTTGCAATGGCATCTTGCAAATGGACATAATTTTTTGCAGCTTTGGTCCACCCGATCCCTAAAATAGGCGACCGCTCAGACCCGTCCAACTACAGGCCTATCGCCATCACCTCGTTGTTCTCCAAAATAATGGAATCCATTATTAACTGCCAGCTCATGAGGTACCTTGAGGATCACCAGTTGATTAGTTACCGCCAGTACGCTTTTTCGTCGGGGTCGATCAGCTGGTGATCTTCTAGTCTGTCTGACTCATAGATGGGCGGAGGCAGTAGAGTCCAAGGGGGAGGCATTGGCCTTTAGTTTTGACATAGCGAAGGCCTTCGATCGGGTCTGGCACAAAGCGCTTCTTTCGAAGCTTCCTTCCTA